GTCCCTGGAAGTTCTTGTTATTTCCTGGTATGTCTCCTTGGTGATGTGCCTGTCCTTCCACTGCCTGTATACCTTCCCTCTGCTTTTGAGGTATACTAGATGCTCCACATTGGTCTCTTTCCATTCTCCTTATGTTTCCATCATGTCAGAATAGCTTCTCACTGAGCTTTCAGTACTGTGCCCTTTAGAAGTTCCCAGCACTCCTGCACACCTTTTTCCTTCAGTCTGTCTTCCCATGGCATCATGACTGTTAACTTCTTGAGTTGGTTGAAATCCACCTTTTTGAAATCTAGCGTCTTAGCTTTGCTGATCTCATGTTCCCTCCATCTCAGGTTCTTGAATTCTATCATATCATGATCACTTCTTCCCAAGTTTTCTATCACCTTCACATTCTCCACCAGTTGTTCCCTACTGGTCAGGACAAGATCCAAGATAGAAGACCCCATAGTTGTATTCTCCACCTTCTGAAATAGAAAGCTGTTCACACAGGGTAGCAACGGTCTTGGCATTTTGAATGGGCTGTATTTTTCTTCCACCAGATATTCAGAAAATAGAAATCTTCCATATGTACCATCTCATAACTTTTGGATAACTTTGAAATCTCTTTGAAGAGTGTCTCATCCACCTCCTCTTCCTGACTTGGTGGCCTACAATAAATCCCTATCAATATATTTACTGTACCTTTCACCTTTTGTCTTCATTCAAATATATTCTGGTCTGCTATCTTGTTCCTCCTGAACTAGGGAACAAGTATATGTGTTTCTGACATAAGAGATGATGCCACCACCTTTTCTACCAACCCTGTTTCCAGAACAGAATGCAGCCCTTAATATTGATGTTCTAGTCATCAGAGCTTTCCCAGCAAGTCTCTGTGATACCAATCAGATCATAGTTTTTCCACAGGCTGTGACTTCCAGCTCATCTTGTTTGTTCCCCAGGCGTCTCACATTTGCATACATACATTAGATGTATTTTGCATTTCACCCTACTTGTTTCTCTTTTGCATCACTCGCTGCTGTCCTGTGGCTCTCTGACCCTTTCCTGCAGTTGAACTGTTTCTTCAGGACCTTTCTCCTATGAATTGTTTTCTCTGTGGCTGGAGGGTTTTGTTCACCATCCCTCGTGGAACCTAGTTTAAAGCCCTCCTTACTAGGTTGGCCAGATGACTCCCAAAGATGCTCCAGGCAGACAACACACCTCCTGTGACCCCATATTGGTGCTTCTGTTCCTTGCAGAAGGGAGTGACTAACCATCCCCACTCTCCTCTTCCTTTTTGATGTAGTGACCTTAGCGCCACCATCTCTGGCACCCTGTATTTCCTGCTCTCTAGACTGCTGAGTCCTTTGGATCTTGCCTGTTGATGTTCTCACTTCTGCCTTTTCCTCAACTGCTCTACTGCAGAGTGTTTGAAAGTAGTTGCTGAATACAATCTGTTTTTATTGAATTCTGGGGACACTTTCTTCTAGTAGTCACATGTTGCCACTTCTCTTTTCCGTTTGGTCTCTCCACTATCAGCCACACATAACTCCTGCCCATATAATCTTCCTTCTCCTTGATTAAAATGCAGCATGGATATCTGTGCTTCTAACCTTTCAATTTTTTCCTCCAAGGCAGACACCAGCTCACACTTGACCCTCTGGGAGGAACATGAACATGGCACATGCAGGTCACGACTGCTGATCCAGTCTCCATTTATGCCTCCTTTGCTCTCTGGAGGACGCCTCGGCTATAAAAAACAAAAGCAAAGAAAAGAGAAGAAAAAAAACGCACATGCTTGCTCATGCATGCATCCACACACATGCAAACAGAGTCTCCTGCTCCTTCCTACCATGAACTCCCAGGTGAACTCCCTCTCTGCTGCGCTCTCTGTGTTTGCAAGGAGCTGCCTTTAAAAGGCTGCCTAGCCTAGCTTCACTCCTCGATCAGCGAAACCAGCCGCACTTGAAGTAGATAACTTGCACAGAGCTGGGAATGAAAATCCTGAAAGCTGTCACTCCAGGGGGAAAAACAAAAGAAAAAGCAAGGCACAAATCAAACACCCAAAAACCACTAACTAGATGCCCGGGGTCACCAGCATCCAGAAAAGTCTCCTCAAGGCAGTCCTACCAGTGAGCTGCTTCTCTTACAGTAGCCCCCAGGCAAACTTTCTCTCTGTTTGCTGCTTCTCCATTCCTTCATGGGAACAAAGGGATGTACAG